CTCTGGTCTTTCAGGGAAACTGTTGGGAGACTAGCATGTTAGACAGGCTGCCATGGGATTTTCTTTCACAGCTCTGAGATTAGTTGCCATCTGCCATCAGACCCACTCAAAGTGTTTTTGAAATGCCTTCAGTGTATCTGACAGTTCATAACACCTATGTAGGACAAATGGCTTTTTATCTAGTTGAAGTGAAGACAAATACATTTTGTTATAAAAGTAAAAAAGCACTGCAGAGTTTGACTATAACAGTGTCTAACTGTCTTCATATCCAAAACACACGTAACTGCATTGTTGGGCACCAATATGAGCTCACCTGTTTCAGCAGGTAAGCCATGTTCTGAAGGCTTTAGATCAGAGTCCAGGGCTGGAGTTCTCCTCAGACAATTTTCTGTCACCCATCTTTACTTTCTCCCCACTTTCTCATCTACCCTCAGGACATTTTTTTTGCATGTCCAGTAAATGTGACAACTTCTAGACTTCATGAGCTCTAAAAGAATGACAAGGCTATATTTTACATATTTGCCTCCATGTTTTACATATAGAACGGTGCACAGGGCACTGTTAGCACTGTTGCCTCACAGCAAGAAGGTCCTGAGTTCAATTCCACCATCAGGCGAGGTCTTTCTGTGTCGAGTTTGCATGTTCTCCCCGTGTTTGCGTGGGATCTCTCTGGGTACTCTGGCTTCCTTCCACAGTCCAAAGACATGCAAATGGTTGTCTGTGTCTATGTGTTTGCCGTGCGACAGACTGGTGACCTGTCCAGGTTGTAGGGATAGGCTCCAGCCTCTTTCCTGATATCTTTGAACCAGATTGCTGAAATCTGGGTTCATCACTCCATAGAACACAGTGCCACAAAGTTTCAGTTCAGTTCTTTCACTGAAACCATTTCTGATGAGTCTTCAGTGAGCAGATGGATTCACTGAAGGGCCAGATGCATCTATCACATTTTTTCTAGATTTGAAAAAATAATAATTCTTACAGACACGACTTTCAGATACTGATCATGTGCTGTATGTAGCTTTTTAGGTCGGACACTTCTTTGGAGCATCACTTGTCCAATTTCCTCACTTGTCCAATTGTTTAAAAACATACTACTTGATGCCATTTTTATGCTTAAATTATTCATTGAGTCTGAAACTGGTCAATTGCAAGAAGTATACTGAAAATGAGTGGAAAATGGAGCCAATGTCCAAAGAATAAGACTTTGAGCAATCCCAGAGAAGTAGACCTCTTTAAAAATAAATAAATAAAAGAAAGTCTGTCTCCTTAAAAGCAAAATATAAAGAAATGAAGGTTGGCTCAAGGGTTTTGCACACTACTGTATATTTCAGGATAAACCTCTTTAAGCATATCATCGTTTTTTAAAGTGGTCCAAACAAACATGCAAAACAGAACAATGCAAAACATCTCAAAACAAGAGAAAGAGAAAAAAATCAGCCTTTGACATAGCAATAAATTTTATTTATTTATTTACATTTTATTATCTATTAAATGAATTAATGAATAAGAAATAAAGGAAGTAAAATGATAAAGTATGCTTGAAAAAGAAAAGTGATGGCAGGGAGATCACATTTAAAAGTAGCTTATTTCAGTAAAAGGGAGCTTTTTCCAGCTTCCTTTGAATTGCCAGTAAAAAGGATCTGATCAGAGTGTCTTGCATAATTTGTAGAATGAGAACAAAAATAGTTGCAGATGATATGGACATTAAAAAATAAACTGATATCAGTGTTGTTGTGATATATCAAGAAATAATGCACTACTGTCCTTTTCAAAATAGGAATAGGACTGAATCCCTGGCGTCTAGAAGCTGGCTGTAGAGGTGGTAAATCAGGCACAGACCTGAAGACCTGAAGGTGGAGCATAGGAGTCTGAAAAGCAGAATAACAACAACATACATTTTAATATACATAAAACTGAAGCTGATTGGCTTCTAGAAGGTGGGAAAGAATCTTATTGGACCAGAGCATTTCCACAGCATGTCTTTCATCCCGTCTTCCTTCTCTCTCCCCAACCGGTCGCACCAGATGGCCGCTCCTCCCTGAGCCTGGTTCTGCCGGAGGTTTCTTCCTGTTAAAAGGGAGTTTTTCCTTCCCACTGTCGCCGAAGTGCTTGCTCATAGGGGGCCATATGATTGTTGGGTTTTTCTCTGTATGTATTTTTGTAGGGTCTACCTTACAATATAAAGTGCCTTGAGTCGACTGTTGTTGTGATTTGGCGCTATATAAATAAAATTGAATTGAACTGAATTGGATGTCGATGACGAGACTGAGTATTATGGCGTGGGAAAGTGAAACTGATGACAAGAATGGAATAGTGGCTTTATTTCATTGCATACTAAATAATAAAGCAGCACAGATTTGTTGTGATCCTAATTCTGATTTTGATTTTTGAACCTTTTGGGTTGTTTGCTTTTCCTGTTGGTTGTCCTTCTGTGTTAGCCCTGCGATAGACTGGTGACCTGTCGTGGGTGTTGGCCTCTGACAGCTGGGGTAGGCTCTATCCCAGCTGTCAGACTGATAGATGGATGGCTTGTTATAATTTAATCTTATTTTGGATTCTAATTTGTTCCCTCAGTGTTCCCTGTCTTATCCTCTTGTGTCAGCTCCACTATGTTAAGTTCATTCATGTGTCAAGTCTAATCTGATTTATTCTAATCAGATTTGACTTTTGATTCTATAGACAGAATTAAATCAAAGTTAATTTATGTAATTCTTAACAAAAATACCCAGATAAGTGACCATAGGCCTTTCAAGATGAATAACCAAGTGCCTAGCCTGGCTTCTAAAAGGGCCAGGTGTCTTTATCTCCATTTCTACTCTCATCATG